TTATACCCAACTAAAAGGTACAACCCCAGTAAGATCCACAACCAAAGAAAAAGTGAAAGCAGCTTGAGCAGGAAGTACCGGCCTGAAAAGTAGATTAATCAGCATGTGGGTGTGCATCGTAGCCAACCTCCAACTCCTACCTTGCAACCACAATGTGTTTGAGCACCCCAACTAAACAGGTTAGCCTTGCATGCTGCTGTCCTGGGCTCTATCCTCATTACCCTATATGGCCCTCTGAGTCCCACCAGGAGTGATCCCTGAGTGCAGAGCTAGGAGTAAGATCTGGCCAATAAAGGGTGCAGGGATCCAATCCAGGTCAGCCATGTGCAAGGCTTACCCTCTGTTCTCTCTCTGGCCCCAGGCATCTGTGTGTGTGTGTGTGTGTGTGTGTGTGTGTGTGTGTGTGTGTGTGTATCTCTCTCTCCTCTCTCTCTCTCTGGCTATTTAACTAACATCTGGCAATGCTCAGGGGCTACTCCTCAGGGCTCTGGTTCTGCACTCAGGGACTACTTCTGGCAGTACTCGGAGGACATATGGGATGCCAGGGATCGAACTTAGGGCTGGCCACGTGCAAGGCAAATGCCCCACATGCTGTACTATAGCTCTGACCCTATATTATTTTCTCTTTCTTTCTTTCTTTCTTTCTTTCTTTCTTTCTTTCTTTCTCTCTCTCTCTCTCTTTCTTTCTTTCATTCTTGTTTCTCAGGGTTTACTATTGGCTTTGAGCTTAGGGATCAGTCTGGTGGTGTTCAGGGGACCACATGAGGTGCCTGGATGGAACCCAGGTCAATTATGTATAAGGCAGTCTCCTGCATTTTTCCCTTTTGTCTCAGTCTCAGCTTCCTCAGAAGTCCCACCTTTAAAAAAAATATATATATATATTGCTTTTTGGGTCACACCCATAGATATTCAGGGGTTACTCCTGGCTCTACACTCAGGAATTACTCAGCTTCCTCAGAATCCCCACCTTTTAAAATATGTATGTATATATACATATATATATGTTTAATATAGGGGCTAGAGCGATAGCACAGCGGTAGGGCGTTTGCCTTGCACCCAGCCAACATGGCCAACCCGAGTTCGATTCCTCCGCCCCTCTCGGAGACCCCGGCAAGCTACCGAGAGTATCTCACCCGCACGGCAGAGCCTGGCAAGCTACCCGTGATGTCCTCGATATGCCAAACACAGTAACAACAAAGTCTCCAATGGAGACGTTACTGGGCCCGCTCGAGCAAATCGATGAACAATGGGAGGAAAGTGACTACAGTGACTACCAAGACTATCCCGCCCACACAGCAGAGCCTGGCAAGCTCCCCATGGCATATTCGATATGCCAAAAACAGTAATAAGAAGTGTGTGTGTGTCACAATGGAGGACAGTGCAACAATGCTCTCTCTCTCTCTCTCTATATATATATATATATATACATATATATATATATATTGCTTTTTGAGTCACACCCCATCAATACTCAGGGGTTACTCCTGGCTCTGCACTTAGGAATCACTCCTGGTATGAGATGCTGGGGATTGAACCCTGGTTGGCCATGTGCAGGGCGAGGCCCCCATGTTAGAGTTCTGTTAGAACCCCGCATGGTGAAGTTAGCACAAGGATCCATGCGGTCTGGGTTCCAAATTCAGCTCTGTCACCAACACAGTTTTGTGAAAGTCTTTAAGTCACTCTATGAAATGAAACTGGGCTGGAGCGATAGCACAGTGGGTAAGGCGTTTGCTTTGCACCTGGCCGACCCAGGTTCAATTCCTTCACCCCTCTCCGAGAGCCCAGCAAGCTACCCAGAGTATCCCGCCCGCACGGCAAAGCCTGGCAAGCTCCCTATGACGTATTTGGTATGCCAAAAACGGTAACAGCAAGTTTCACAAGTTGTTGTAAGATGTTACTGGTGCCCGCTCCAGCAAATCGATGAACAATGGGAGGACAATGCTAAGTGCAGTGCTGTCAAATGAAACTGCAGGCACCTTTGACAGCACCTTCGTCGCCATATTCAGGGGCACATGGTGTACTGACAGCAAAAGATTTCCAAGTCAAGCACTCACGTAGGGAAAAACAGTAAGTGGAGGCAGAAAAATGCTTGTAGCATTTTTGGTTTGAATGCTGTGCGTACTTTTATATATGAATGGTTTGAAGTTGTGCGTACTTTTATATATGTTGATAACTGCATTAAATAGGGAAAACTCACGGGTTTGCTATATACTTTTGAATAACGGGAGTCGTTAACAAGAAGAATGTATCTTATTTGTAGTTAAAAAAAAAAAAACAATACCTTCCACTTCCAAGACTGGGAAAGCCCAGAACCAAGTTGCAAGGTAAGAAAAGTTCAGGGATTGGAGAGATAAACATTTGCTTTGCACATGGCCGATCCGGGTTTGCTCCTCGGCATCCCATTATAGTCCCAGAGGTCTCCAGGAGTGATTCCCGAGGACAGAGTCAGGACCACCGCTAGGTGTGACCCAAAACAAAACAAAACAAAAAGCAGAGCAAAACTGAGCAGTGTCCAGGTGCACGCGCTAGGGGGCAGCCTAGCGAGCGGCCCGGCTTGGCGCGGGGGAAACCTGCCACCGCGGGCGGTGGGGGCCGCTGGGGCTTTGCGGTCGCCAGGGGGCATAAGTGTGGGGCGACCCCAGCAAACTTAGCACGGTCCCCCACCACACCCCCACGCCCCCGTGAAAGCCCCTGATTCTGTCCCTCTGCTGCAGCCCAGACAGAGCCGACAGTGGATTTCCAGCGTCGAGGGGACGCCCCCCTTGCAACCCCCCACCTCCCACCCCGACAAGCAGCCGGTCTTCCCGCTCCTGGGTACCGCTCCGCAGCTCCGCCCCCACCCTCACCCCCCAACACCCGCCGAGGGGAAATTGAGTCACTGGGAGGCGAGGCCAGAGCCACCCGGGGAATGTGCGCCGACGCCAGCCCTCGGGGCCTTCCAGATGCTCAGGGGAGGGGCGGGATCTCCAGGAAAATAGACACCGGGGGGTGACGGGGGTGGCTGGCCAGGAGCCGGGCCAGACACATGGAGAAACGCTGCCCAGGATCAAAGGAAATATGACATTTGAAAAGAATGTGCGCGTCTGCCGGAGCTGCGGAGGGGGTGGGGCGCGCGGGCATGGAGGGCCGGGCTGCCGGGGGCCCTTTCCGCCTCGGCTCCCCAACTCCCCCCTCTGCACCCACTCTTAGGTGCAGGCTGCGGGCGGGGCTGGGGTGCTCCTCTCTCTCTCCTCTCTCTCCACCCTCCCCCCCGCACCTCTGCCCTTTCTTTCGTCCCCCTCGATGAAAAGGGGAGGGAAATGTAACCGGAGGAGACCGACCCAAGCCGGGTGGGGGCTGGCGGGGGAGAAATTTAAAAAAATTTTTTTGAAAAAAGAAAAATCAAACCAGGCCGCTTCTTCGCTTGGCCTCGGAACATTCTTCTCTCCCCGCCGGCCCGGCCTCTTCTCCCCGCCCCCCTGAGCGTCGCGGCCCTGGGCTCGCAGCCGGGGCAGCTCCGCACGTCACTGGGGTCCCCGGGGGCTGGGGTGGGGGTACCCAGGGCGGGCAGAGGGAGGACTCGAGCGGAGGGAGGAGAGCCGCGGCCGAGCACACCCTGCCGGCCCAGCCCTCCCCTCTCCCCGGCCCCGCCGAGCCTGTTTCTCATTAGAGTAACGGGCGCGGTCCCCGCCCGGCTCCCGTGTGTTTGTAAACGTCTGACCCGCGGGCCGCCGCTTAACCCTTCGGGAGCGGGGCTGGGGTGGGGGCTGGGGAGCCGGGGGTCGGTCCGACGGCTGCTGCTGCTGCTGGCGGGACGGAAGGTTCAAGTCTCTGATCAGCCAGCCAGGTGCCGGGTGGGGGCAGGGTCACACACACACACACACACACACACACCACACACCACACACCACACACACACACCATGCACCGTGCACAGTCCGCCGACCGAGTCGCTGAGTTCAGATCCGTATCGCGCTGCAGCGCCCCGCCCTGCCTGCCCTTCCTGCAAGCTCCAGTCCGAGTCTTCCTTCCTCCTCCCGCCCAGGTGACAGGTGTCCAGGCCTGGGGGCCCTCCCGGGCCCGGGGCTCCGGGCCCCCGGTAAACCCGGCCAGGACTTTTCAGAAGAGCCGGAGCTAGATGCCTTCGCCTCGGAGATTTCATTCCAGACTAGAGCAGTCGGGAGGAGGGAGCCGACTTCCCGCGGCGGCTAATTAATGGCCCCTCGGGTGGCGGAGACAAGGGAGGCGCCAAAGCCCGGCCTGGATCGCCGCCCAGCAGGCCCGGGGACCTTGGAGCCAGTCCCTAACTGGACCGATCTCTCCACTGCTGGGACCATCGCTGGGGGACTTGACTCGGCCTTGTGAACACTTCCAGAAGGCCCGGGCACCGGGAGCCCAGGCTAGGGATTTGGAAGAATTGACCTTTCCCTTTTCAGATCAGCCTGGAATCCCTCTGTACCCCAAAGCCCGACTGGCCTCGCTTAGACCAAAGGAGTCGAGTGTTCCCCCCCACCTCCTGCTCACAGCAGTCTGCACCAATTCTTCCAGTTAAGATCTTTAGTGGAACTTGGACACGGTGGATCCACTATGTGGCCCCTTTAAAGAGCTCGGACCTGGAGCCCCAGAACTTAGACTTGGTGGTGGTAGTGGGGCCGCGGGGTGGGGGGGCGAGGGTGCGTTGTGGTGATCTGGGGAAGTGATTGTCACGACAGTGGGCCAATAGGCTTCATGATGGTCTACCGCACTTGAGGGACCGCTTTCCAATTCAGCTTTCCTCTCTCTCTCTCTCTTATTATTTTTTTTTATTGGGGGAGGGACTGGAGGGAGGACACAGGGAGGGAGGGAGGGAGAGAGGGAGGGTGCGGGAGGAAGAGGGGCGCGTGGTTTTCCCATCTCATCCCTGGAGGAGGGGCTGGAGCATCCCGGGCAGCCAATCAGCGACAGGCTGGGGGGGGCGCTTTGAAGAAGTTTGGGGAAAAAAGTTTGGAAAAGTTTCTATAATAACGAGGGGGCGTCCGGAGGGAGGCGGCAGCGGCGGAGGAGGGGGCGTCCCGGAGAAGGGGAGGGCGGGAGCCGCGGGTGCAGCTTCGGCAGCCTCCTGCGCTCCCCCTCCCACCCAGACCGGGACCGGGGGCTCTGGCCGGACCCATGGGGGCAGCGAGCTGCGAGGATGAGGAGCTGGAGTTTAAGCTGGTGTTCGGGGAGGAAAAGGAGGCCCCCCCGCTGGGCGCGGGGGGGTCGGGGGAAGGTTAGTGCGGGGCTGGGGTCTCGGGGTCAGCGCAGGCAGGGCCTGGGCACCCCGAGTCTGGAGCTCCTGGGGCAGCGAGCCCGGGGTGAGGGATGAGGGGGTCAGTGGTTGCCGGGAGTCGGGGGGGCTCCGGGGAGGGGGGTGTGCGGAGGTGAGGCCGGGGGGCCCGGCACCACTTTCTCCTTTTTAGGCTGTGACTGGGGTGGGGGTGGGGGTGCCCTTGGCCGCGCGCCGCCTCCAGGCCGGGCCGACTGTCACTGGGATGGGGGTCGGCGGGTGGAGCGGGTCCCGCGGGCGCCTGGCGCCGCCGGGGGGAAACCGAGGCAGGCCGGGGAGGCTGCGGCGGGGGACCGGGGGCGCTCTGGGGCCCCGCCGGCGCGACCCTCCCCCTCCCCCGTCTGGCCGCAATGAGTCGCAGATGGCGGGGACTGAGCCGGGGGCGGCGGCCGCTGCTCGCACGGCATCAGCGCGGCCCGGCCCCCCTGGCCCCCGCCCCGGCCCGGGGCCCCTCACGGAGCGCCCCCTCGGCGGCGGGGGAGAGGAGGGCGGAGCCAGCCCCGCTCGTCACCGCAGCCCTGGCGCCCCCCTCTCCCTGGGCCACCGTTGCGATGGCAACTGGGGCTCCTGCCAGCGCCGTTTGGGGGTTTGGGAACCGCTGCTAATTGGGTTCATGTGTGAGTCGTCGCCCCCGGCCCAGCCCCGCGCCTCGCTGGACCCGCCTCCAGGCCCAGCCAGGCCCGTCCCGACCCGCCTCCCGCACCTTCGGACCCGCCCCGGCCGGTACCCCGGGTCCCAGGCCGGCACTCGGAGCGAGCGGGTCCCCGAGGGGGAGGGCCTGGCACGCCCCAGGCCCAGCTTGGCCTTTGTCTGTGCGGCTGGACGGGCATCCCCCCCAGACCCATTCTGACCCGGGGAAGGGGCGAGCGAGCAAGGCAGCAGACACGGGCGAGGAGCGGGGCCCGTCTCACATGCTTCTCCCCCCCACCCCCGTGCCCCCGCCCGTTTTGACAGAACTGGACTCCGAGGACGCCCCGCCATGCTGCCGCCTGACCCTGGGGGAGCCCCCTCCCTACGGGGCCGCCCCCATCGGCATCCCCCGGCCCCCGCCGCCGCGGCCGGGCATGCACTCGCCGCCGCCCCGGCCCGCACCGTCCCCGGGCACCTGGGAGAGCCAGCCGGCGCGCTCCGTGAGGCTGGGGGGCGCGGGCGCGGGCGCGGGGGCCGCCGGGGGCGGCCGTGTGCTCGAGTGCCCCAGCATCCGCATCACGTCCATCTCCCCCACGCACGACCCGCCCGCCGCCCTCGACGACCACCCCGACGCCTGGGCCGACGGCTCTCCCCGGGAGTACCCCGCGCCCGAAGGCTTCGCGGGCTACCGGGAGGCGGGGGGCCCGGCCGGGGGCCCCTTCTTCAGCCCCAGCCCGGGCAGCAGTAGCCTGTCCTCGTGGAGTTTCTTCTCCGACGCCTCGGACGAGGCCGCGCTGTACGCCGCCTGCGACGAGGTGGAGTCGGAGCTGAACGAGGCGGCCTCGCGCTTCGGCCTGGGCTCGCCTCTGCCCTCGCCCCGGGCGTCCCCGCGGCCCTGGACCCCCGACGACCCCTGGAGCCTGTACGGCCCCAGCCCGGGGGCCCGGGGGCCCGAGGACAGCTGGCTGCTCCTCAGCGCCCCTGGGCCCAGCCCGGCCTCCCCGCGGCCCGCCTCTCCCTGCGGCAAGCGGCGCTATTCCAGCTCGGGGACCCCGTCGTCCGCCTCCCCGGCTCTGTCCCGGCGGGGCAGCCTGGGGGAGGAGGGGCCTGAGCCCCCGCCACCCCCTCCGTTGCCTCTGGCCCGGGATCCCGGCTCCCCCGGTCCCTTTGACTATGTGGGGGCGGCCCCCGCCGAGAGCATCCCGCAGAAGACGCGGCGGACTTCCAGCGAGCAGGCGGTGGCCCTGCCCCGGCCCGAGGAGCCCGCCCCGTGCAACGGGAAGCTGCCCGCAGGGCCCGAGGAGGCCGCTGCCCCTCCTGGGGGCCCTCGGAAGGAGGTGGCTGGCATGGACTACCTGGCCGTGCCCTCCCCACTGGCTTGGTCCAAAGCCCGGATTGGGGGACACAGCCCCATCTTCAGGTGAGGGGTGCCCTCCTGCTGTCCTCAGCCAGCTCCCTTCCACTTCGAGAGGAAAGTAAGAGGGCGGGTGGGAAGACAGGTCCTAGTTGTCTCTCTCTGCCTTTGGCATTGTCAAAGGAGAATCAGGCCTGGCCATTTACCCAGTTCTCCAGAGGAGTTTAAAAGGCAGCCCACGAGTGAGAGCAGAGAAAGAGAAAGAGAGAGACAGAGACTGAGACAGAGACAGAGAGACAGAGAGAGAGAATACAGTGGGGCAGGTGCTGGCCTTGTCCGTGGCTGACCCAGGATTGATCCCTGGCACCCCATATGGTCCCTTGAGCCCCACTAAGAGTGATCCCTGAGCATAGAACCAGGAGTAAGCCCTAGGCATCGGCAAGTATAGCCCACAAACAAGCAAACAAACAAAAATTAAAGGTAAAGGTAAAGGTAAAGGCCCTCCCGTTGATCGTCGATTTGCTCGAGCGGGCCCAGTAACGTCTCCATTGGAGACTGTTGTTACTGTGTCTGGCATATCGAATACTCTCGGTAGCTTGCCGGGCTCTCCGGGAGGGGCGGAGGAATCGAACTCGGGTCGGCCATGTTGGCCGCTTGTAAGGCGAACGCCCTACCCGCTGTGCTATCGCTCCAAATTAAAAATAAATAAAAAGCATCCTTTCCCAACAATTTACAAAAGGATAGCCATTGCCTGTGGGCCCTATTGGAATCCCCCTCATCCCCAGAAGATCACTTAGGTAAGGAAGGGTCTCCTCTAGGAGGTTCCCCACATCTAGCCCAGGGGTGGAGAGGGGCACTGCTGGATTTCATTCCCTCCTCCAACTCAGCTCCTCAAGCCTGGTTTACCAGTAGAGATACTTTGAATAAAATGGTTTATATTTGCAAGTCAAAGAATTCAATTTAACAAAGCAATTATTAACTTTCTTTTACCCAATTCATCCAACTTTGCCCACTCTCATTTCAATTGTCCTGGATCTTGACAGAGCTGATTTAAAAAAAACAAAAAACTTGCAGCATGCAGAAAAACTTCCCCCAGGGAAGACACACCCACTTCTCCCCTCTCCCCTGCTCCCCTAGATTCTGGTACGACTGGGTCTCAGCACTCCAAAACAGTGCTCCCTTGGAGGATGGTTTACCCATATCCCAGCCCCTAGAGCCATGCAAGATGTCAGCTGTGGCATGAAAAATGTGTCTGGCATTATCAATTATCACCTGGGAGCCATGAGCAATTGGGTGGGAGTCACTGAGCTCAGCCCCTGACAGGTGTCCCTGCTGTGGTTCCCAGCTCCCTAGAGCTGACTTACGTGACCCCCACAAGGAGGAGAGGTGGTGGTGCTGGCTGGGTTAGGCTCAGTCTTGCTCTGTCACCCACTGGCTTATTTGCCCCCTGCACTCTACTTGCTGCACCTCAATTCCTTAGTCTGTAAAAGGGGTTCACCTCTGAAGACAGTTCTAGGCTCTTTCTTTACGTCATTCTTCCTACCCAGATCTGGAGGATGAGGATGTGCTTGGGGTTCCTCTGTATTCAGGGGAGTTTTTGCCACCCCCAAACCCTGCGCTAGGGGCTACTATGAGGAGGAGGGCATCTCAAGCCTGGCACCCTCTTCCTCCCCCTCCTCCCCAGGGGTGGGGAGGGGGTTGCATGCTGGTCCTCCCTTACTACTGTGACTCCTCCTCCACACTGACTTCATTCAGTGCTCTCTTGTTCCCACAGGACCTCTGCCCTCCCCCCTCTGGACTGGCCCCTGCCCAGCCAGTATGAGCAGCTGGAGCTGAGGATCGAGGTGCAGCCCAGAGCCCACCACCGGGCCCACTATGAGACGGAGGGCAGTCGGGGAGCTGTCAAGGCTGCCCCTGGTGGTCACCCCGTGGTCAAGGTAAGAGGCAGAGGGTCAGCCTTCCTCCTCTCTGGTCCCAGATCCTGGTGCTGGTGTCCTGCTGGGCATGTCCCTGGCTCTGTCCTTTCCCACACTCCCAGTCCGCAATGACCCTGCCAGACTGGGGAGGGGCTGGCGGTGTTGGGGGGTGGGGAGGATGCTTGGCTGCTGAGGACCCGGATGCACTTTCTCTCTCCTCCATGCCTCCACCCCCCTCAGCATCCCATGGGACAGCAGTCTCCCTTTGACTCTGGAAAATGGTGGCCTGCCAGATGTGGGGGAGGGCTTAGGCTGAGGCCAGAGTTCACTGGGAGTGAGGTTGTCCTCTGTTGAGTTGGGCCTGTCTCTTTTGGAAGCTTTCCCCCCCCTCTGCCCAGCCCATTTGGGGCTTTGGTCCAAGAAAAACACAGCAAATTCCAGGCCGTGTTTTCTCCACAACTGGTGCCCAATTCCCCCTGGAAACCCCTTCCAGGATGTCCTTTATCTTTCACCATCCTCACCCATCCTCACCCCCTGGTGGGATGAAAACCCAGGGATGGATGAAAACAGGGACCTGGAGAGTGTGGGGGATTTCAGTGGGGTGCCCTCTCTCTCCCTCGGCCAGCTCCTGGGCTACAGCGAGAAGCCCCTGACCCTGCAGATGTTCATTGGCACGGCGGATGAGAGGAACCTGAGGCCTCACGCCTTCTACCAGGTGCACCGGATCACGGGCAAGATGGTGGCCACGGCCAGCTACGAGGCTGTGGTCAGTGGCACCAAGGTGCTGGAGATGACCCTGCTTCCTGAAAACAACATGGCAGCCAAGTAGGTTCTCACTGCCTCTCAGTCTTCTCCCTTGGACCTAAACTAGTTTGTTCCTCTCCCCTTCGGAGCTAGGTTTTAGGGACGGCAGCTATTGATAGTACAAGCAGGGGTGCTTGCCTTGCTCCCCGCTGATCTGCTTTGATCCCTGGCACTCCATTTGTTCCCCTTTTCCTAACCCCACCAGGAGTGATCCCTGAGCTTAGAGCCAGGAAGGAATAAGCCCTGGTCACCACAGGGTGTGTCCCCCAAACCAAAATCTAAAGGCAAATAACAGTAAGAAAAAGAGCTAGATTTCATCCTAGGGAGCTGGTTTCTCACCATCCAGAACTGGGCTCTTGGTGCCTCTGGAGAGAGGTCTCATCTGGATTAAAATCACCCCCACCCAGACTCCCAAAGATCATTCAGGGCTCAGGTGGGCAGGAGAAGGGAGACCTTCCTCTTTGGCAGAGTGGGGCGGTGCCCTCAGGCTTCAGCTGGGCGCTTGCGTTTGGTTCCTTGCCCTCAGCATCGACTGTGCGGGAATATTGAAGCTTCGGAACTCAGACATCGAGCTGCGCAAGGGCGAGACAGACATCGGGCGCAAGAATACGCGGGTGCGGCTGGTGTTCCGTGTGCACGTGCCACAGGGCAGCGGGAAGGTCATCTCCGTGCAGACGGCATCGGTGCCCATTGAATGCTGTGAGCAAAGAGGCCCTGTGCCCCCGCTCGGTCCTTCACCACTGTGTGTGTGTGTGTGTGTGTGTGTGTGTGTTCACCACCCCCCATACTTCTCTGGGTTCTGTCTCTGCTGTGAAGTCTGCCAAGGCCCTGCCCTGGGGCTGGAGCAATAGCACAGCGGATAGGTCATTTGCTTTGCACATGGCAGACCCAGGTTTGATTCTCAGCATCCCATATGGTCCCCCGAGCACTGCCAGGAGTAGTCATTCCTGAGTGCATGAGTCAGGAGTAACCCCTGTGCATCGCCGGGTGTGACCCAAAAAAGATCGGTCACGGTCCTCCTGTTGTTCATCGATTTGCTCTAGCGGGCCCAGTAACATCTCCATCATGAGATTTGTTACTGTGTTTGGCATATTGAATATGTCACAGGTAGCTTACCAAGCTCTGCCGTGCGGGCGAGATACTCTCGGTAGCTTGCTGGGCTCTCTGAGAGGGGCAGAGGAATCGAACTCGGGTCGGCCATGTTGGCCACTTGCAAGGCAAATGCCCTACCGCTCTGCTATCGCTCTAACCCAAAAAAGAAAAAAAAGAAAAAGGCCCTGTCCTGACTTCCATTATGGATGCAATGCCAGTCCCAGAGTAAGGCCCAAGGGCCCACGCTTTCTGTTGGCCCCTGGATGGCTAACCTTCCTGCTTCCCTTGTGACTGTCTCAGCCCCAGAAGAAGCTCCTGGGTTCGGAGGACCCCAGGGTGCTGCTGGTTTGCGGATGTGTCTGCTCCCTAGGGTCTAAAGCACTTATTATCGCATGGAGATGGAGGGAGGCAGAAGGGGCCTTTCTCTACCTGCTGCCCCGCCAGGCCTTCCCTGCTCTGTTCCACAGCCCAGCGCTCGGCCCAGGAGCTGCCCCAGGTGGAGGCCTATAGCCCCAGCGCCTGCTCGGTGCGCGGAGGGGATGAGCTGGTGCTGACTGGCTCCAACTTCTTGCCAGACTCCAAGGTGGTGTTCATCGAGCGGGGCCCTGGTGAGTAGCCCAGAGCTTAGGAAGGTGAGCAAGTGTCTGAAACAGGCATTCTTCCCGCGAGAGGAGTCTGCATTGTGTAGTCGGGTCTCTGAAGAGAAGCGGAACCTCACTGTGCCCCCCCCCCCCCCGCTGTATCCCCCCCACACCCCGCCAGCCTCTCCAGAGTGCAGGACAGGGGAGTTTAGTTCTGATGACCATACCTGTGAGGCACACCCCCCCCCCCCAGGATGGACCTATTAAGGTTGGAGTGGGAAGACTGAGGGTCCAGGGCGCTCATTAACCCACATCCTCTGCCCCCCACCTGTAGTCCAGCCCACCAACACCCCCAGCAACGTACCCTGGGGTCTTGTCTGAGCTGATTCAGAAGTTCTGGGCTTTGGATCTCGTTGCTTTCTTTCAAGCTGGGACCCTCTCTGCTCTTGGCTGTCCTCCCTGCCTCTCACTGGGAAGGATCTTTGGAGAGTAGGGGGACCCCCCCCACACACACACACAAGGCACCTGTCACTCCCCTTACAACCTGGGCTGATGTGCCAGTTCTCTTGGTCTCTATTGCCTGCTCTGTACTTGGGGGACAGTTTCCAAACCCACCTCTTCCATGGCTTTGAGTAAACACACAGTGGGCTTCTCTGTGGGCTGGGCAGGAGGTTGGGGGGCTGGGCCCTCGAGGGATGCTGAGCCCCCTGCTTCTCCCGCACAGATGGAAAGCTACAGTGGGAAGAGGAGGCCACAGTGAACCGAGTGCAGAGCAATGAGGTACCTGGCCCCGAGGGTGCCCGTCCTGGGGCCGGAGGCTGGGGTGGGGCTGGGGAAGCAGTCTGGAATGTCTCAGCTGGGTCCTCGGTGTGTGGGTGTGGCCATCAGGTGCCCCCTGTTCTCTTGTGGAGGAGACAGTCTAGCCACAGGGGCTTGAGGCAGATGGAGGAAGGGGGGAGGAGGAGGAGTTGGGCCAGTCCCAAAGGCTCTCTGCCCCTCTTCTGCTCCCCAGGTGACATTGACCCTGACCATCCCTGAGTACAGCAACAAGCGGGTGTCCCGGCCAGTCCAGGTTTACTTTTATGTCTCCAACGGACGGAGGAAGCGCAGCCCGACCCAGAGCTTCAAGTTTCTGCCTGGTGTGTTCCGGGAGAGCCCAGGGTGGGGCATGGAGAGCAGGGGCACCTGAGCAGTCAGGGGGCTGCAAGCAGGAGCCAGGAAGGGGCGGGTCTCAGCAGGCTTCCTCTCCTTCCTCCCCTCCCAGTGATCTTCAAGGAGGAGCCGCTGCCGGATTCATCTCTCCGGGGCTTTCCCTCAGCGCCAGGCCCCCCCTTTGGCACTGACATGGACTTCTCCCCTCCCAGGCCTCCCTACCCCTCTTATCCCCCCGAAGACCCCACTTACGAAACTCCTTACATGTCAGAAGGCTTCAACTATGGCACGCCGCCTCTGTACCCCCAGACAGGCCCCCCACCGTCCTACAGACCTGGCCTGCGGATGTTCCCGGAGACTGGGGCTACTGCAGGCTGCGCCCGTCCATCTCCAGTCCCCTTCCTACCCCGGCCCTACCCTAGTGACCCCTATGGAGGACGGGGCTCCCCGTTTCCCCTGGGGCTGCCGTTCCCTCCTCCAGCCCCCTTTCGGCCCCCGCTGCCATCATCCCCGCCACTTGAAGGCCCCTTCCCTCCCCAGAGTGGTGTCCACCCCCCACCTCCTGAGGGCTACAGTGAGGTAGGGCCAAGCTACTGCCCAGGGGAAGGGGCTCCGGAGCAGGAGAAATCCAGAGGCGGCTACAGCAGCGGCTTCCGGGACAGCGTGCCCATCCAGGGGATCACGCTGGAGGAAGGTGGGTGCCAACCGGGCTATGAGAGAGAGAGAGAGAGAGAGAGAGAGAGAGAGAGAGAGAGAGAGAGAGAGAGAGATTATGCGTGAGAGAGAGTGTGGGGAGAGCATATGTGAGGGAGTGAGTGTGTATGTGTCTATGTGAGTGTGTGAGTGTGTGATTGTGTGAATGTGTGTGACCTCTGAGTATGTGAGAGTGTATGTGAATGTGTTCTAGTATTAGTGTGTGAATATGTGAGTATGAGAGTGTGGGTGTTAGTGTGTGTATGGGGATGTGTGAACGAATTTGTGAGAGTGTATGACAGTGTGAATGTGAGTGTTAGAAAGTGAGTTTGTGTGAATGTGTGAGTATGTGTGTGCGAGAGTATGCGTATCAGGGTGTGTGTGAATGAGCTTGTGAGAGTGTATAAGAGTATGAGTGTGAATGCGTGTGTTAGAGAGAGTGAGAGTTTGTGTGAGTATGTGAGTATGAGAGTGTGCGTGTCAGTGTGTGTATGGGACTGTGTGCGAATGAATTTGTGAGAGTGTATGAGAATGTGAGTGTGAATGCGTGTGTTAGAGAGTGAGAGTTTGTGTGAATGTGTGAGTATGTGAGTGCGAGAGTGAGTGCGAGAGTGTGCATATCAGGGCTCACAGCAAGGGCCCTGACATCGCAGACCACAGGCCAGGGAGAAGGGAAGCATGGGCTGGGGCCCTTTCTGATGGAGTGGACCATCAGGACTGGGAAGCAGGTGTTGAAACACATGAGGCCTGTGGGAAAGAAACCAGTGGTTGAGGAGCTAGCACTGCTAAGGCCCACCGGCCTGGAATTGGGGGTCTCTGGAGAAGGAGGGGAGGCCCGATCTCTTGATGGTTTTTCCTTTACAGTGAGCGAGATCATCGGCCGAGACCTGAGCGGGTTCCCTTCACCTCCTGGAGAAGAGCCTCCAGCCTGAGCCTGGCTGAATCATCTGCCCGGCCCCGCCCACTGAACCTCCAGCCTGGTTGCTGGCTCCAGCCACGGGGGTCCGATCTGGTTCCCTTCCTCCTCCTTCTCCAGCTTTGGCCTCCACCCTCCTGCCTCTCCTCCCCTCCTCAAGCTGCCGTGTAAGCCCGGCCTGGTGCTGCCCTGGAGGCCTGGGGGAGAGAGAACCTGGAGGCGGGGCGGGTGCTGGCTGCAGAGGGACAGGTGGGTGTCTGGAAGCTGGGCCTGGATTGTGCGTGCCCTGAATGGTGCTGGGAGGCTGAGGACACGTGGATGAGTAATAAATACTCACTGACAAGTGCTGCGGGCTCCAGAGTCTTCGGAGAGAGGGAGAGAGAGGAAGGAGACCTCAAAGATAGAGGTGGGGAGAGCTCATCAGGGACGGGGGGCCTGGAGAGGGTTTTGAAGGGTGCCCTGGAGGTTCTTCTCTAAGAGTGGTGATGGGTGAGGGTAGAGCTTGGGTGGGGGGGCTCTCCTTGATTTCCCCATGCCCTTCCCCCTTCCTTTCCCCCAACCCTCAGAATTTTGATTCCATTAGGCACTTAGGGTCTGGATCCAGGAATCCATGATTTATTCTTATTTATTTAGTTATGTTTTATAGTTTGCTGCAGGTTGACTTTAGGTTGACCTTGTGACTACTCACTACTTTTGGACTAGGGCTGGAGTGATAGCACAGCGGCCGACCCAGGTTCAATTCCTCTATCCCTCTTGGAGAGCTCGGCAAGCTACCGAGAGTATCTCACTCACGGCAGAGCCTGGCAAGCTCCCCATGGTGTATTCGATATGCCAAACACAGTAACAACAAGTCTCACAATGGAGATGTTACTGGGTCTGCTCGAGCAAATCGATGAACAACGGGAGGATAGTGCTACAGTGCTACAGTGCTATTTAATTTTGGTTTTGGGTCCACACCTGGCTCTGCTCAAAGCTTCCTCCTGGATCTGCATTCAGGGATCACTCCTGGCAGGGCTCTGGGGACCATACGGGAGGCCGGGGATCAGACCCAGATTGGCTGCTTACAAGGCAAGTGCCCTACTTGCTGTACTATTGCTCCGGCCCCTTAATGAATTTTTAAGTTCTTTTCTCTCACTGCCACACAGATGGTTCTGATTCATAGCCAAGGATGGGAAGCCCCAGGCACATCCTGCCCCCTCCTTCACAGAGACGTCTCTAAGGCTCAGAGCAGGACAGAGGCATGCAGCTAGCTCATCAATAGCGGCCACTCAGCTCATCAATGGCAGGCTGGGCACTGATCCTGGCCCCTGCTGCCAGCCCACCCTCAGACTCCTGCACCCACTGGGCTCGGGTCCCTGAGGCTTCTCCTTCTGGACTGGAGTTGGGGGGGTGAGGGAGAGCTGGCATGGGTCCATGGCTCTCTGTATGTTCTCATCCTGGGAACTGTGCAGACCTTCTGGAAAGATCTGTGCTTCCGGAGAAGACTGTAGAAAGCCAGGCAGTCTGCCTGGGAGCCCTGACCACCACCTGCCCTGGCACTTACAGGCACCTTACAGGGTGCCAAGGCACTGTAAGAGCTACAAGTGCACCCACCTATCAACGCCGAGCCAGCCCGGTGAGCCATGGGGCCAAGTGCCCAGTAGGCTGGGGACAGTCAGCCCTGTGTGGAGACCCTGCATCTGATACCCAGTGCCCAGGATGCCCCGGTGCCAGCAGCCCAAGGAAGCTGTGCCCAACCGACTCCCAGCGGGCCTGTGTCTGCCACTCTTGCCTCACTTCTCCCTGCCCAGTGGCCCAGACCGGCTTGGCAAGCAGGCGTGTGTTCAGGGCAAGTACCACAGAGACCAGCTCTGGATGGCCAGACGAGAATCCGAGTGATGCCCTCCTCCCCACTCTGGTCCCTTGGTGCCAGGAAAGAATTTCTTTCATCTTCCTGAATGCAGATCACAGAGACTCTAACAGATCCAAATGACCCACTGACCCACTCTGGGCCAGGGCTGCCTCCAGCTGTTGGAGGAGTGACAAAGTCACCTCCTTATCCCCCTCACTATCCCCCCAGCAGCCAAGAGGACCCTGTCAGAAGCCCTGGGCACCCTCACTGTAAGGGGTAGGCCAGCCTCCCTGCCCCCTACCCCAAACTTCACCTCCAGGCAGTCAGAGCCCTTTCTAGTCATTCATTCAGTGCCAGGCATTTGTGGCACCAATACTAAGTGCCAGCCAGAGGGGCCTGGAGCTTTTAGCCTCCTGGGGCCATGGTAAGCAAACAGCTTGTTGTATAAAAATTCACTAATTCATCCCAGGAAGCATAGCTCATTGGATACTGTCAGGTCACAGGGAAACAATGAGGATCTGGGTGTGGAAGAATGTGGGGCACTCTATCCAGCTGTGGAGGCTAAACTTCAATGGGTAAATGTTTGTTTGTTTGTTTGTTTTGATTTGTTTTGGGGGGGTCACGCATCTAAGGAGGTCACACATCTAAACTCAGGGGATACTCTTGGCTCAGTAAGGGTATCTTTCCCAGCAGTGCCAGGGTTGGAACCCGGGTCTCTCTGCATGCCAGCCTGCTTCCAGCCCTTTGAGCCATCTCCTGGCCATGGGGTGGGTTCTAGTTGGAGCCCAGAACCTGAGCAGGCCCAGTACGGGAAGGGCAGACAGGGACAGAGACCTCCGGAAGAGGGAGGCCTGCAGAAAGGGACAACTCATGGGGTGGGGAAGGGACCCAAGAGAGGCCCCATTTACTGTGCTGTGGGGCTGTGAGAGACTGTGGAAGAGGCACCCAGGGGTGACTTCAGAGGGACCCTGCTGCCGTGGCAGGGAATTCAGGGTTATCCAAGGATGAAGGCTGCTTCCCCACTCCAGGGAGGCCTTCTGGGGGCCATAGCTGTGCCATGGGGCACTGTCTGGCCTCGCTTAGGGCTGGTGGCTGCTTCCCTGCAATTGTCTTCTCAGGGCCTGCTGTGTGTGCTGAGCCCATCTAGACAGGCCCGGCCCGGCTTCCCATTAGACTAACTGTGGCCATAATCTTTTGCAAGGACCCTTCACGGCCTTCTAGCTCCCCGAGGCAGGAGCTGGAAGAGCAGAGCAGGAAACTGGCTCCTTGGCTGGTGCCAGAAAACTCTTTCTTGGCCAGGGTTTCTCAGAGTATGGTCTGAGGATTACTTACATTTGAATCACGAGGGAGGTCTTGACCGGTTTTGTTTGTTTGTTTATATTTTTTAATGTAGGTTTCTAGGCAACCCCTGACCTACTTGACTGTATTATCTGCCACCCCTCAGCACCCCCACGCAGGTTTCTGCATCTGTAAGAGCCCCCAAGGGAGTCCTTTGCATCCAGTTAACTCTCAAACTTTTTCTTTTTTTTTTCCCTTTTTGCTTTTTGAGTCATACCCGGTGATGCACAGGGGTTACTCCCAGCTCTGCACTCAGGAATTACTCCTGGCGGTGCTCAGGGGACCATATGGGATGCTGAGAGTCAAACTCAGGTCGGCCACATGCGAGGCAAATGCCCTACCTGTGCTATCACTCCAGCCCCTAACTCTTAAACTCTGATGTTTGGGTCACTCCTTCCAAGCCACCATTGGAAATTGTTCCCAACCCCCTTATCACAGTCTGGCTGCTCTGAGGGTGGGTCACCTGGAGCAGGGTGCTTAGGAAAGAGCACCCACATATTTCAGGTATTGCCACTCATCTCTCTCCTCCAGACCTGCCTTGGTAACCTGAGGATAACCCTGGGGACAGCATGAAGACCCAGGCTAGAGCAGCTGCCACCCACCTCTGCCCTCCTAGGTTCTGGGGCTGGCTGGGCCATGCTGGGATACCTTCCCTGGGGTCTGGGGGCTCTGCTTGGAGGGGAGGCACGGATGCCTTGGGGCGGCTATAGGACTTTCTGAAAAAGGCAGCAAAGGACACAGCAGTGGCCTGTTTTGTCCTTCCTGGGCCCCGTCCAGACTTCCACGTGCTAGGTGGGGTGCAGATTGCAGTGGCCCCTGTGTCTGAAGGCTTACTTAACCCACTCCACAAGGCCATCCAAGAGCCTGCCACTCCCACACAACATGGTATCACAGGGGTCTTGCCCTGGAGGAATAGAAAGTGTGGTCACCAGAAGCTGACTCAGGTTAATCTCTGGGTTCCTATATGGTTCCCCTGAGCACCACCAAGGAGTGATTCTTGAATTCAGAGCCAGGAGTATGGCTTCACCTCCGCCCCTCACCAAATTGTATATGTGTACATGTGTGGTGTGAATGAACCCAGGGTGTCCCACGTGGGAGGTATATACTCTACTATTGAGCTATCTCCCTGGCCTGAAACATTTGTGACAGACATTTTTAGAAAGAAATGTTGATACTGATATGTATTTTTAAAATAGGCCCCACCCAGCAATATTTGGGAGGCACAGGGTGAGTCCTGGCAAGGCTCGGGCTTATAATGGTAGGTTGGTGCTCGGGCTTGGGGATGCAGGACTGCTGACTGGGGGACCACGAGAGCCACACCTGGCTGTGCTTGGAGACCCATGGTGCTTGGGGTTGGTCTCAGGTTAAGCACGTGCTCAACCACTTCAGCTCTCTCTCCAGTCAGCCTCCCACCCCCATACACACACATACACACACGCATTCAATTTTCCTCCGTTCCTCTTGGAGAGCCCAGTGAGCTACCGAGAGTATCCCGCACACACGGCAGAGCCTGGCAAGCTCTCCGTGGTGTATATGATATGCCAAAAACAGTAACAAGTCTCACAATGGAGACTTTACTGGTGCCCGCTGGAGCAAATCGATGAACATGGGGAGGACAGTGCTACAGTGCTATTTTTTGGGCAACTGTGACTGTGCTTAGGGCTTACTCCTGGCTCTGTGCTCAGGGATCACTCCTAGAAGTGCTCAAGGGTCATATGCGGTGCCAGGGATTTAAACTGAGGTCAGCCACAATGCAAGGAAAGTGACTTAACTCCTGTATTATCTATATTATCTCTCCAACCCTCTTTAATTAAATTTTAAAAAATCATAGTTAGGGAACATGGTTTCGGTGTACAGTTACTGCACCTTCACCATCACTAAAGTGCC